TCATCTCTCTTTTCATCATCTCTCACTCTCACTCACTCTCTCATCTCTCTCTCACTATCTTCTCTAATTCTCTCACACTCACTTCTCTGTAAATTTTAAATTTTTTTCATTAATATGTGTTTTTGGAGTTAGTTTTGAGTTTATGCCAATTATTTGTCATTGTTTTATGTTATTGTTTTGTTATTTGACAATATTTGTTTTTTTTTTGTGTAGGGAATTGTTGAGGCTTTGATGGCTAAAGTTGAGGATTTGATATAAGAGGCTTGTAGATTTTATTGTTGTACTTTGTTAATTTAAGTGTACATTTTGAATATTATGTATATTGGATAATTTGACCACTATTTTTCTTATGTAATTTTATTTTGAATATGTCAATTTAAATTAAAGTAATTAAGAAAAATAAAATCATACAATTAAATAAATTTTAAAAAAAATTAATATAATGAAATTGATATAAGAGAAATAATAATAAAAAATGTCAAAAACCTTGCGCGACAAAATATTTCGTCGCGCAAACTATTAAATGAGTTTATTTTAGTTTAAAATTTTCAAAAAACAAAAATTAAAAAAAATGATTATTTCGTCGCGCAAACCTTTGCGCGACGTTAACATTCGTCGCTCAAAGTACACTTGCGCGACATTCACATTCGTCGCGCAAAGGAGATATTATTCGTCGCGCAAAGTATATAATATTCGTCGCGTAAAGTAATTAATATTCGTCGCGCAAAGTTGTTATTGTCCGTCGCGCAAAGTTGTTATTTTCGTCGCACAAAGTCGTCATGATTCGTCGCGCAAGTTGTTATCCTTCGTCGCGCAAAATGACTTTGTGCGACAAAGAATTTTCGCCGTCGCGCAAACCCTTTCTTTACGAGTTTTGCGCGACCAAAATTTCGTCGCGCAAACTTTGCACGACGAAATTTTCCTCTGCGCGACCAAAAATCATTCGTCGCGCAAAGTGTTTTTTGTAGTAGTGAGTATAGATAAAGAATTTGGTTTGTCTCAAATTATGGAGAAGATTTTTCGTCTGCCCGTTGGCATTGTATTGTTACAGCTTGTGGTTCATTGCTCTGGTACTGAATTCAAGGTAAAACATGACAAAACTTTGTCTAATTATAGTAAAATTTATTGTTTTGAAGATAATCAAATATAGAAAGAAAAAAAGAGAGTTTTCCTCAGAATATTTGCTTAAACGTTGGTACTGCTGCATTTTCTGTTGAGTATTCCTCTTAATGTTAAATTGGGACCTTTTAGCTTCGTTTGATTTTTTTTTGTTTAAAGCTTTGGCTGGCTTGACACTTCAAATACGAAGAGAAGAGTCATTGCAAGGAACTTGTTTAAACCCTTCGTATATTTTTATAGTTTTAAAAAATTATAACTTTTACAAAAATGCAATAAAATAATAGAGAATTGACACAAGTCATAATCGCAACGCTTCAGCATCATTTGTTTGCCAACAAAATATGTTTTGTACAAGCTCCAAAAGGATTCACTATAGCTTCAACATTGCTTCATTTACTACAAATAGTAATAAACATAAGATAATGACAAGTGACATCACATGAATGGTGTATCGTTACTGCCACGTATCATTAGAGTTTTTTTTTTTTTTTTTGTTCAATTTAATAATTCACAAGAAATTCATAAAAATACAAAAATACATTATTATTTTTTTAAGCTTAGTGAATAGTAAATCATGCAATGTTGAAGCATTCATGAAACATATTTTGGTGACAGATAAAATCAATTTCAACATCTACATCAGAATAGCGAATAATTAGAATGACACTCTGACGATGTACCCATGATGCACTAGTGAATAATAAATCATGCGATTTTGAAAAGGATATCAGCGACTGCTGGACCTGCAGAAGTTCCAGATAATTCAGTAATTTTCATGTTGCCTTCCTGGGAAATACTAACATGAACACTAAAACTATGCTTTTATAAAATTGTAATGTTTCAATGACGCTTTTGAATGTTCTGTTCTGATCTGCATTCTTCTTCCACTTGGGTTGTCTGAGATATTACACCAGCAAGCTGCAAGCATATCCTCAAGTGTTCCTAAAGCACCTTCAGTAACCTCCTCCTTCACTAGTTTGGGATCTTCTTCTGAAACAAAATTGCAACGTTCTTTTAGTTCATTATGTGATCATTTTGCTCCTCTTTTCTCTTTTGAGAGAGACTTAAAGAGAGATGTACAAGTTAATTATGACAAATAGAATAAGATGGAACAGCACATGTTACATGTACTATTTTGCTTTTCAAATGAGGCTAACCTTATCTGAGTGTTGATCTCAACCCCTTTTGGTTCTTTTCCAAGGTCCAAGCAAAAATAACATAAAATGAGGATCAGTAGACAAATATTTAATTAAATTACTAGAAACAGAAAGTAAAAATACCTTAAGAGCATCCAAATCCGATCCGACTGTGGAAATCTCGTCTTGAGTCAGAGAAATCCTTGACTGCTTGAAGATTCGATTAAAGCCTAAGCAAATTAAGAACATAAATATTGTGCAAAAATAACAAACCTCTAGCGTTTGAATCGTAGCTTCATTCATAGCCAATTCAACTTCGTATCCTTTAAGATCTTGCTCAGTAGTTTCCTTGCTGCGCTTGGCTTCCTCGAGCTCTGCATTTGCAACCTCTAGCATATACCTCACCAGGGCAAAACTCAGTGTAGGTTCGCAGTTAAAAACCAACAATTGAACTGAAAAGTGCCTAATTTGATAAAAAATTTGGCCCAAAAAATGGAACTTCAAGGGAATTTGACAGTCATAATTTACAGATAATTATACAATAAAATACCGAAAATATATACAAAAAGATAATGATTTTCACAGATAATTTACAATTAAATACCCAAACATTTTAACCCTAAATCAAATTAGGGACATAGAAATTGAATTTTCAAAAAACATAGAAAATAATAGTAAGAGAAAGAAGGACAGTTGTTACCTATGGATCCATGGAGGAAGGGAGGCTCTCATGGATAGAGAGCGCGAGACCGAGCGAACCAGCGAGAGAGCGCCGGCGAGACAGAGAGCCGTCGAGGCCAAAAGTATTTAGTAGTATTTAAACCTCTTCTTTTATTTTATTTTTCATTATTTTTCTTTTAAGTCGTTTATTGCCCTTGACATAAGCAATCTTTACTGTAATAGGACTACAATCAGATCCTTGATAGTATAGGAAAAGGAATATTTAAGGAAAGCTTAAATACAGAGTGCTTCAGGTTTCCTATTTCTATTGGGATTGAAACACCTAATTCTACTGGCTTAAGGAAAGCTTAAGATGTCCTTGATGAGGAGGACTCCTAAGTGAAGCCTATAAAAGGACGTCCCTGTGCTATCGACTATTACACACTCACTATTATTCTCACCCCATCTAGAGAGAGATAAAGAGCCTGATAGCAGAGAAGACAACCTGTGCCCGTCATGTCTGATCAAGGTAAGTGTTTAGTTCATATAAACCTATTATGACTTACAATATTTACTTACTGTAATTAGACTTGTACAAAGTAAACTTGCGTAATTATAAACCATCAGTGCAGTCGTTATTCTCCAAATTCCTCATCTTCACCAATTCTCTCCTCTATCTTTCTACAGAAATAGGGGTTCTGGTTCTCCCGAAATCGTCAGGAATCCTTAAATATTATCACAAAATCTATCGAAGCAATGTCAGATGTCTACTCGGGTAGCAAGAAAAGAACATTGTCAAACATCCTCCTCCTTCCCGAAGAGATCTTTGATGAAATCCTCCTGAGGTTGCCCAGCAAAAGCGTAGGGAGATGCAGCGCAGTGTGCAAAACATGGAACTCTCTCGTCAACACCTTCTTTCGAAACCACACTCGCTACCAATCCAATAGCGACCACGACGACGCTCAACTCCTCTTCCTTCAGTTTCATGATTCCAAGAGAATCATCAACAGAAGTCATTACGCGTTGCATCGGGATAACTCTACATGTAACGTGTATACCAAGCTTCCTAACCCGTTCGCAGCTTGCAACAAGTTACCTACTTGCCTCCGAGGAGCAGAAAAAGTTGAAGATCTGACTCTGGTTGGAACTTGTAACGGGCTCATATGCCTGGTTGCTCGTGATAATGAGATTCACTTTGCTGCATCAATTTGGAACCCTCGTATTAGAAAGTTGGTGGCTTTACCTAAGCCTGGCCTTGCCGTGTACAAAGATATTGATCAAGTAAGATATGGCTTTGGTTATGATTCTTACACCAACGACTATAAGGTTTTGAGATGTGTGAACCACAAATATATCCGCCAAAGCACTTGTCAAGTTGAGATTTGGTCGTTAGCCAGAGGCTCCTGGAAGAGTCTTAGTTCTGCTGCTGATCATGTTATCCTCCCTACCAACTCTCATCCTATCCTCCCTGCCAACTTTCATCCTGGCCAGCTCTTCAATAGATGGGGTGTTGTGTTTGTCAATGGCTCTCTGCATTGGCTCCAACTTGCCAGAAACTGGAAGGTGAATAAGATGGATTATTTGGTTGCATCGTTTGATATGGCGAGTGAGTTATTTGGTGAGACAACTGTGCCAGAAGCTTTACGAAAAGAATTATACTCAGAACCTAGACGACGAGAGTGGTTTATTTCAAGATACAGAGAGTCCATTGCCCTTGTTAATATTCGTAACGATAGAGAACGTTGGTTTGGTTGTCGTGTTGAGATCTGGGTGATGGCGGAGTATGGCGTGGCGGCATCTTGGGCTAACCTATGTACCGTGCAGCTGCCAGATTTTTTGTTGATGCCGCTTGGTTTTAGAAAGAGTGGTGAAGTGGTTTATATGAGATATATTAATGGTCAATCTATGTTGCTAGACCCTGAGTCCAAACAAGTTAGTCATTTTGAAATTGATGGGAGCAACAATCGCTTGAAGTTCATGGATTATTTTGTGGAGAGCCTTGTCTTATTAGACCAACCCAATGCTATTTCATACTAGAAAGAAAGACAGAAACCGAATCAAGACAACATCCACCTTGTATGCCAAACACAAATAGCAACAAGTCATTAGCCGAAACAGGCATGCTTCTATCTATGTAGGCATTAGTCATTAAATTAATGTGAATTATCATCTGTGTATTTTTTTTAATCTTGCAAAATGAACGAATGATGCCATTAGTTTCTGGAAGTGAAAGAATTGTCATTAGGGGAAAATAACTAATAAAGAAACCTGAAGGAACAATCAAAATCATATGCATCTGAAAAATTAATGACTCAAATTCAGCTGCTTAGACCTAAGCACTCAAATCTCAATTACTGCAACGGACCCAAGTATGGGTCATCATAAATATCTGAAAACTTTAAGGCTCAAAGTCAGCTGCTAAGATATAGGCAGTCAATCTTAATCGTTTCAATGAATCCCAGTACATACCATCCATTCAGCTGCTAAGGTTTCACATCCAGCTTTCTCATAATGCACATTGAATTTGGGCTTCCATTCCCAAAAGCAACTAGTTACTGGCGCACCCAATTCGCCTTTGGATTCATCTGGTCGACCAGGAATCAAAACTTTCATCCTCTTCCTCTCCAATTATGTAGCCATCAGAGCTTCCACTTGACAAAATTGGATCAACATGTTTGAAGTTTTCACTGGTGTTTAATGACCTAAAACCTCCTTGGTGATTTAGTTGCTTCAAGAAAGGCTGATCTAAATTGTAACAGCTCAAAAACTTCCTTCTCCCATCAAATTTAGCACCAAAAATTCCGTTTTTTTTTTTCTTTCTAAAACGTGGGAGACTGAATTGATGTGAACTTGAGCTTTTCACAATCAATTTCCACCTTTAATTAACAGCATTACAGCATGGTGCAGAACTGTATGAGAGTACTTCCATACCCACAAACTGAATTCTGCAATGATCAATCAAAACAATGATTCAACAACAATTTGACTTTACCCTTTATTGCATGAGACTAATTGACAAAATGAAGAAGTATAATTTGCAAATCACATGTTGTATGTAGCTTTCATGATTCCAACTTTTCCCCAACACAAAAAAGAAAAAAGAAAAAAAGAAGCACAAACTGATACGAAGAGAAGTTAATATCAATTACCAATCTTGAACTTCAGTTAACACCCAAAAACTGGTTAAGATATTTATTATAAGTTGAGAAAAAAGACTAAACATAATTAGCAACCAGTAGCTTTCCTGCACAACTCTAAAAGAAACTCACAGATTTATGGCAAAAGAAGAACTAATTTCTCAAATATATTAGTTGACTTTAAAATGAGAGCAAAAGATGCATTAGTAAAATTGAATCTAGTTGGATTTAATTCTTTGTAAGTGAAGTTATCATAATTAAATTGAAATAATACAATAAAGAGAATTGCTCACCATTTGGTCAACCAGTACACACTGTAAACAGGTATTGATCATCTGATCCGATAAGTTTTGGTCGCCATATTCTACAGACTCGAACTTTGATCTTCTTGTTAAATTGGAATGGTTCCAAACCACGAATGTGAACGAAACTCATTGTATTTTTAAAGCTGAAAATAAAATATATTTTTTCTTAGTATAAAAAGGTATGCAGGTATTTATCAAAAGTGACAGTAAAAATATAGAAATGTTTAACTATGAATAGATCAAAGTTGAAACCTGAGAAGTACAAACAGAAAAAAAAATCAGCCACACAGAAAATCTATAACCACACGCAAACAGGAATTCTATAACATCTATTAGAATTATAATTCTGATCTGGAGTCATTTAAAATAAAAAAAAATAAAAAAAAGGAGGAGTCTATAACCACTCGCAAAAAGAAAATCAGCCACACAGACATCAATTACCAGATTGATGAGCAGACTGGGGGTTCTCATATTGATTACTCCAG